TTTTTTTTCCCTCTCTCCCTTTTTCCTTTATTTATTTATTTTCCGGGGCGAATGAAAAAATAAATTTATGGTTTTGAAATCGGGGAAAAAAAAAAAAAAAAAAAAAAAATTTTCCGATTATTTTCATACGAAAAAATTTATATATAAAAATAATCGAAGACGAACGAAGTTGGGAAATTGGTTTTTAACGAAACCCTAAATGGTACGACGATATTCGAGTTCTCGAAAGAAAAAATCGATTCGAGTCTCGAACGAAATGATTCGAAATACCAGGGAAAAGTTTTTGAAAATGTCATCATTATTTTTTTATACGTTGTCATTTTTATATTGTCAATCGTTGGTAATTCATTGGTGTTAGCAACTTTGGCAAGGCATAAAAGAATGAGAACCGTTACAAATGTTTATTTGCTTAATTTGGTAAGTTTCATTTTTTTAATTTAAATTTAAATTTAATTAGAGAAAAATAATGTGTGTTTGTTTGTTTGTTTGCTTGTTTGTTAATAAAGTGTTTATTTATTAATGTATAATAAGTATGTGTGCGTAAGAACTCTTGTTGGTTTGTTTATGTTTGTATGCTTGGATGGCTCTTTGTTAAATAATTTCTGTTGTGTGTGTATGTTTTATTCATGTTTAAATCTGATTATTTGTTTGTTTGTTTGTTTAAATATATGTTTGTGTGTTTTTCTGTGTGTGTGTGTGTGTGTGTGTGTGTGTGTGTGAGTAAGAGTGTGAGTGTGTGAACATGTCTTTGTATGTGAATATGTGTGTGTGTGTTGTTGGGTGGGTACATGTGTGTGTCTTTGTGAGTGTGTGTGTGTGTCTTAATGTGTTTCTCTGTGAGTATGTATGTGTGTGTGTTTGTGAGTTTCTCTGTGTGTTTTTGTGTGTGTGTGTGTGTGTGTGTATATGAGTAAGTGTGTGAGTGTGTGAACATGTTTTTGTATGTGAATATGAGTGTGTGTGTGTGTGTGGGTAAATGTGTGAATATATGCGTGTGTGTGTGTGTGTAGGTAGGTGGGTATATGTGTGAATTTGTGTGTCTCTGTGAGTATGTGTGTGTGTCTCTGTGAGTATGTGTGTGTGTGTGAGTGTTTGTATGTTTTTGTGTGTTTCTCTGTGAGTATGTGTGTGTGTGTGAGTGTTTGTATGTCTTTGTGTGTTTCCCTGTGAGTATGTGTGGGTCTTTGTGTAACTTTGTATCTTTCTGTGTGTGTGTGTGTATGTGTGAATGTGTTTGTAAAGGTGTCTAGAAAGTTTTAAACAGAAAACCCTTTTAAATTAAACATCAAATAAATCCTGATAAATATTTAGGTAAAAAATTAATAAATTACAAGTCAAATTTTGATTTAAATTTAAAATAAGCAAAAAATTTTTTTTATTTATTCACCACCGCCATTTTTATTTGTTTAAAAAAATATATATATATATTTTTTAAAATCATTTAAAATTTAAATCTTTTAACAAAAAAAAAAAAAAAGTTTTCTTTTTTTCTTTCTTTCTTTCTTTCTTTCTTGTTAATAAGTAACAAAGTTATTTAAAATAAAGTTAAACAAAGAAATAAATAAATCGATTGCAATTATTTATGGTTTAATTAAAAGACTTTCTTTTCTTTTCAAATCATTTCTTACGCAATTCTCATTTAAACTAAATTAAAGTACATAAAATGCTAAATAATAATAATAATAATAATAAAATTTACTTAACGATTATTTATTATTATTATTATTATTATCCAGGTAATAATTTTGAAATTTAATATTTTTCACCCATTACAAAAAATAAAAATATTTTATCATTTTTTTGATGATAACATAAAAAGTCAAAGTGTTGTAACAAAAAAATTTTTTATGAAAGGTGATACAATCGTTTCGGGTCATTAAGGCCAAAATTTAATTTAATTTCCCCCCTCCCCCTTTGCCCCCCTCCTTCCCGAGAAAAAAAAGAGAAATTTTACCTGTTTTTTTTTTTTTTTTTTTTTTTTTAAAGAAAAATTTGACCAAAAATTCGTTAAATTTTTTTTTTTTTTAAAAGGCCTTAAGGGATTATAAAATATACTCAAAAATTATGTTTTTTATATATTTTGTTTTTTTTTTTTTTAAGAAACAAAAATGGCGTCCGACAAAACAAAACATTTTAAATTGATTATATATATAATTTTTTAATAATTTCAGGCCGTATCCGATCTTCTTTTGGTGTTTTTTTGTATGCCCTTCACATTGTTGACAAAAAATTGAAAAATTTCTTTTCGGTTCGATAATGTGTAAGCTAATACCTTATTTTCAAGGTAAGTAATAATAATAATAATAATAATAATAATAATAATAATCATTAATCATCTATCTAACATTAAATTTAAAAGGAAAACTTTTCAATTTTCCCTCCCCACCGTTTTAAATTTAAAATGTTTACTTATCATCATTTCCATTATTATTATTATGACGATGATGATGATTTTTTGTGAAATTTGACTTTAGCAGAAAAGAAAATTTTCCAAAAAAAAAAAAAGAAAAAAGAAAAATGAAAAAAGGATTCAATTTTTATATTTTCACGACAGGAAAATTCTCTATAATATATATTTTCCTTCTTTTTTATATACTTTTCTTTTTAAATACCGTCGTAAATAGTATTTTTTTTCTTACTCGCGCACATACACCCCCTCACTCTTTCTTCCGCCTTACTCCCTCACCCCCCGCCATAAATAAACCCCAAAAAATAATAATAATAATAATAAATTGAATTACGTTTTTCACACACACTCTTGACACAAAAAAAAAAAAAACTAAATTTATTTATTTATTAATGTAAATAAATTTCGTTGTTTTTAAATAATAATAATGATAATAATATGAGAGGAAAACAAAACAAAAAAAATTTTCCGAGCCATTAAGTAAGATTAGGGAAAAAAAATGAAAATTTAAGCTAACGATCGTTAAGAGAAAATTAATTAAATATGCATTCGGTCGGTATTATTAATTATTCTATTATTAATTATTCTCTTTTATGTACATAAATATTAATTTATTATATGTTTAATAGGTATAATTAATAAATAAATAATAACAAAAGAAAAAAAAATTTTTTTTGATGGCCGACGATGACGGTTAAAATCATTTTTTTTCTTCCTTTTTTTTTTTGTTATTACGGTTTGCTTTTAAAAAAACAATAAAACCTATTAATAATAAGATTTTATTTATGTGTCACGTGGCTATTGTTATAATGTCTCCCCATAAAAAAAGGGGGGGGGGGAAAGAGAAAAAGAAAAAAAGAAAAATTATACGATTCGCATAAATATAAAATGTCGTCGTGAGAAAGTGTGATGACGTCATTTAATTCTTTGTGACGTTGACGATTCTGATTGGTCGATTTGAAAATATAAACGAATCAAATGTTTCGATCGACGATTGTGATTGGTCGATTTGAAAATTTAAACGAATCGAATGTTTCGAACGACGATCGGATTATTTCAACAAAAAACGAGTAGTGAAAACGAGTGTTTTTTCTTTTTTCTTTTTTTTTTCATCTACATTTTATTACAAAAATACTTTATTTTAATTTATAACGTAAGTAAAAAGAAAATTATTATTTTAAAAAAGTTCGTTATTTAAATTAAAATTAAAATTAAAAAAATACGAGAGAATAAAAATAAAAAAAAACCGCTGGGAAAATTGTCGGTTATTATTATGATGGTGGTGGTGGTTATGGTGAGTTCGTTTCCGTTTTATTTTTATAAACACGAAAACCTTTTTAAAAAAAATTTTTTTTACCGCAGATGGTTGGCAATATAACTTATTACTGCGGTAATGATAATGATAATGATGATGATGATGATGATAATAATCGTTATATTTATTATCAAACCGTTAAGAGGAGTGGTTTTGTTTCGTTACGTTCCGTTTTATTTTTTATTTTTTTTAAATAAAAAATCTTAATAATTTTTTATTATTATTATTATCATTATTATTATTATTGATTAATAATTTATGTATTCGTCACGAAATTAAATTATCATCATTTTTTCGCGTTACAAAAAAAAAAAAAAAAATGATAATGTGTAATTTGAAGAGGAAAAAAAACAGTAGTGTGCATTTAATATTTAATATTAATAATAATAATAATAATAAATGAAAGAAAATGTAAATTTTAATAATAATGATGATGATGATGATGATGATAATGAAAAATCTAAAGGTTATCATTATTATTTATTTATTTATTTTAACGGGATAGAAAATCGATAAATAAAAGGGGGAAAGGGGAGAAAAAACAAAATAATGATAATAAATACGTTGTCTACGTTTATTTTTTTTGTATTTATTCGTCGTTAATGATGATGATAATAATAATAATAATGATAAAAACGGTACGATACGTTTTGATGTAGGGAATAAAAAAAAAAAACAATTAGATTTTCTTTTTGTGTGTGTGTGGAAAATTTAAATCAGGATTTCATCATTATCATTATTCATTGTTTTTTTGCAAAAAAAACGGTTTTTTTTTCGTATGCGTTTCCTTTAAAAAAAATTTTCAAAATTTTTTTATTTTGCTGTTGCGGTTTATTTTCTTTCTTCCTTTCATTTTTTTTTTTTTTTTGAGAGAGAGAGAGACAGACAGACAGGAAGACAAAAGGCGAATTTTTTATTTTTATTCATAACACAAAAAAAATTTTCCAAATAACGACGTTTCATAACACATGAAAGAAAATCAAAAAAGAAAATTTTTTTTTTTTTGTAATATAAAATGCATATTTCACAGTTTCAAAAAAATAAAATAAAAGGAAAATATAAAAGGAAAAAATAAAATTGATGTGTCATTTATTATTATTATTATTATTTGCACGTAACGTTTCCAGGGGTAGAAAATTTATTATTATTATTATTATTTTAGCCGTTTGCGTTTCCGTTGGTGTTTGGACTCTTGTTGCCATATCACTAGAACGTTATTTTGCCATATGTAGCCCGTTGAAATCGAGAAGATGGCAAACGCAATGTCACGCATATAAAATGATTATATTCGTATGGATGAGCAGTTTAATATGGACGAGTCCGATCGTTGTCTTTTCAAAACTAAAATCAATCAAAATGGGTAAGTTTTAATAAATTTTACCCCCCCCCCCCATGAAAGAAAACTCCATTTTCTTTTTTACATTCGATATTAAACGTTGAAAAAAAATATATTTTATTGCCTCATCTCGTCGCTTTACCCTCTCCTTCTCCCTCCCCCTCCCCCTCCTCACTCTCATCTCATATTATTATTATTATGATTTTTACAATCTTGAAAAAAATATATTCACTATATATAAAAAAAGAAAAACTTTTTATTTCGTCAAATATTATTTACGATTTGAAAGAAGGAGGGAGGGAGGGAGAGGGGGGGAGGGAAAAAATGAAATTTTCTTTTTTTCTCTTTTTTAGGGAGGCATAAATGTCGGGAAGAATGGCCGAGTACGACGAGCGAAAGAGCTTTTAACCTTTTTATTGATGCAATACTTTTGTTAATCCCATTGGTCATCATGATTTTGGCTTATTCTCTTATTGTACATAAATTATTCAAAGGTTTAAAAAAGGAAATAAAAAATTGCACGGATATGAAAAAAGGTTTGAGATAAAAAAAAAAAAAAAACTTTTTTTTTTTTTTTTAAATAATGTTGGCGGCACCGACGGTAAATAAATAAATAAATAAAATTTTAACCAAAATGATTTACTCCTGATACTTTTATTTTTATTTTTTTTTGGGGGGAGGGAGGGGAAGAAAAAATGTACAAAACGTCATTGAAAACCTTTTTATAAAAAAATAAATTACCTTTAACATTTTATTTATTTATTTGAGAATTTATTTTTTATAAAAGTAAACAAAAAAAACGCATAAGCGAAACGTTTTTTTTTTTTTTCACGTTTATTTATTTACCGCATATTAATTTTCTCGTTAAATATATTTTAAATTTTCCCGCGTAATCGACCGGATATGGTATTGTTTTTAATAAATCGCAATTAAAAGTAACGCGTTACAAAAATTCGAAATTTTCTTTTGTTTCGCGTTACTTTTTAATCTTGAACCAGCCGCCATTTTGTTTACCGTTTCGCGCCACTTTTTAATCTTGAGACATCCGCCATTTTGTTTACCGTTTCGCGCTACTTTTTAATCTTGAGACATCCGCCATTTTGAAATAACAGTTGACGTCACGAATTGTTATTGAAGTGTGATGTGATGATCAACCGTCGAAAATTTTATTTTTATATTAATTGTGCGTGTGCGTGCGTGCGTGCGTGCGTGCGTGTGTGAGAATTTTTTTTAATTAATCTAAATAATTTTAAAAGCAGGTGAAAATAAGGATTTGTCGACAAACAAAGGACAAAAAAAAAAATTAAAATTTTGGTTGAAAAATAAAAAGAAAAAATATGGAGAAACGAATAAAAATGTTCATTATCGATCGAATCGAATATCGAAAAAAGCAGAAGACAAATTTATTAACGATCGAGGAGGAGGATGTGGAGGTGGAGGAAATAATAAAAAACCTGGAAAAAAATTTCAATTCGGTAAAAATGAGGTAAAATTTTGAAGTTTTTTTTTTTTTAACGGTCATTCCAAAGTTCTCCAGTTTTATTAACACTTCCGGCCAAACTAAAATCTATTTCTGGAATTATGTACGGTTTGTTAACTGTCAACCTTCCCTCATATATGTAGTACCTTTTCTATTGAAACATTTATTCTTTTCCAAGGTACTGTAAACTCATATTTTTCCTTTTACATTTGTCCTTTGTCAAGTTTTATTAAACACATCATGAAGTTATTTTATTACTTTCTAATAATGGAGGCATGAATAATTAATTGGATTTTTTTTTTTTTTTTTTAAGGTGTTAATATCAAAGGAGGAAAAAAAGGATTTGATACCTTCACCGATACCTGTCGTCATCAACGATACAGTTAAAATATACAATGGAGAACGTTCAGAAGAAGGTTTTTTTTTTTTTTATTTATTTCCATATTTCAATTTTTTTTTTTTTTTTAACAAGATGGCGGAAAAATTAAATAAGAAAAAGAAGGAAAAGTTAAATTGAATTCTCCTTTTTTTATAACTTTATCGTTTGTTGTCTTCTTCGATAAAAAAGTTTTTTATAAAAAATAAAAACAATTTTAATAATAAAAAATTTTCCTCTCTTTTTTTTGTTTGTTTTTTGTTTTAATCAAAAAAGTAACTGAAAAACAAAAACTGAAACAAAAAGTTTAGCCATTTTGTTTTTTCAAAATTTCTCTCTCTCTCTCTCTCTCTCTCTCTCTTGTTTTTCCTGATTGTTTTTCATTTTTTTTTCTTTTTTTTTTTTTTTGTAGGTGAAGAAGATGATGTTAAAGAAAATGATCACAACGAAAAACGTTATTTTTTTAACCGTCACGCAATTAGATCAAATTATATGGATAAAAGTATCGAAGCTAAAAGAAAGGTACGTGGGAAAAACCTTATCATCATTATCATCATCATCATCAAATAATAATAATAATAATAATAAAGATTTGTCATAAAAATTTTTTGCTTTAAGGTCATACGTATGCTATTCGTAATAGTCACCGAATTTTTCGTTTGTTGGGCTCCCCTACACGTGTTAAACACGTGGTATTTATTTTATCCCGATGCCATATATAAATACGTAGGTTCGACAGGTATTAGTCTGGTACAACTTTTAGCATACATATCATCCTGTTGCAATCCAATAACGTATTGTTTCATGAATAAAAAATTTAGACAAGCTTTCATAAGCGTTTTTAACAGGTACAGGTGAGTGACGTCAATTCATCAACATCTTATTAGTATTATCATTATTATTTATATGCATTATTATTTATATGCATTATTATTATTATTATTATTTAAACGATGCATTACGTTGCAGATTATGCTTTTTAAGAGGGAGGGGAAACAAAAGAAAAAACAAATCAAATGTTTTAGAATTGATGGATGATGGTATTATTAAAATGGGAAATTCGATGGGTTATAAAAGCGGAATTATTAATATTGAAAATCGTACGGGTAATTATTAATTAATAAATAAATTAATTAATTAATGAGTTTTCCGTTATGTTTGATATAAATTTTTTTTTTTTGTTTTGTTAAGAAATTTTAGAATTGGAATCCGAGGATCAAGTTTAATTCAAACATAATATTATTTACATAATTGTATTTAAATATGGAGGACATTAATAAATTTTAATAAATTAAACACCCTCGATTATTTATTATTATTATTTTATTTAATAAGTAACACTTTTTGTTATTTTTTTTTTCTTATGTATTTCAATTAATAAAAAACTAACATGGCGTCAATTTTTTTTAAATAATTTTTTTGCTCCTCCCCCCAAGTTTTTCCAACTCTAACCTTTTCTTCTTCTTTTTCGTTTATTTACATACATAATAATAATAATAATATGGGATTATAATTTATATCATTAAAATGAAACAAATTTTATTAATTTATTTATTAATATCCGTTTAGAAAAATTATAAGTTAATAAGTTATTATTCAAATTAAATTAACTATTAAATTATTATTTTTATTTATTTATTATGTAAATAATTAACGTTTTATTCTTTGTTATACCATCTCCTCCATTTATTACATAAATTATATATTTTTATTCAAATTAATAATTATTAATTTTTAAGCATATAATTGAATTTATTTATTATTTTGGTATAAAAATAAAATACTTTATTTATAAAATAATAATAATAATATATATATATATAAAAAAATCAATCAATTTGACCTTTTGGGGGTCAAAATTTATACACATAAACACAATTAGTGGTTAGTTAAACGAAGTGAATGTTTTGTTTAAATAATAATATTAAGGCCTCGATAAAATGAAAAATTTGGTTAATTTTGATTTTTTTTTTTAAATAATAACATATCGAGAACTCATTGAAATTTTAGCCATTTAATTGAGTGGCAGATTAATAAAAAAAACTAATATTTGACTGATAATTTATAGTTTTTAATTAATAAATTATTGATTTTCTAATCGACAATGTCTACAACACAGAGAATATATTTTTCTTATTAAAAAATTAACAAAGTATTAATATCATTCATTACTGGCTATAAACAAAAAGGTTATTTAACAATATTTGCTTGGGAATAATTACACAAATCGAATGATGAAGTATCGATAAAAATGATAGCAACAAATTTCTTTCCCCCCCCCCACTCTTGATGCAGAATATTAAAAAATCCTTTTTTCTTTTTATTGATAAAATAAAACTATGATTTAGCAGACCAAATGATAACACCTATCAATATTATAAAAACAATTGTGAGTATTAATAATAATAAAAATTTTCTTTTTCTCGATTTGTTTTGATACTGAGCAGCTGTGTGTAATTCTCTATTGGCAACTTGAACATCTTCATAAGCTGATTCAATTTTACTTTCGATTGTATCTTAAAAAAAAAAAAATAAATTTGTTATTTTCAAATCACGAATGACTTTTTTTTTTTTTTTTTTTTTTTTTGTTTCAGGTACAGAAAGTACTAACCGACTGCAGTTTCTTGTTCATGTACCAAAGCTCCTAATTCTTTCATGACGCTATTCAATTGCACAATATCTTTTTCAATTTGTTTAACGCTTTGTTGTCTCTCCAACAACAATTGATTTTCAAATTCCAAATTTTTTTGCATTTGAAGTTGTTCCTGTTCGATGAGATTCCTAGATTCGTCATGAGGACCACCTGATGCATCGGCATTTTTTATCAAATTGAATTGTAACTTTTGAACGACATCCTACAATAATTTGAAGGTAAGTGAATAAAACATTAATTTCTTTCATTTTTTGTATTTTAAAACCCATTTTATTCATTCTTATAGTGACAATTAGTAAAATGGTTGTCAGTTTTAAATTATTACTTCATATTAAGTCAAATTTAACTAATCGATAAATAATGATAATGATGTGACGATAACAAACCTGTTGAATTTTGCAATAAGCCTCCACGGCATCTTTGCAATGGCTGGTGATTTTGCTGATTTGAAGCCTCTGTTGCTTGTTAGCCGTTCTAGCCAACTGATTTAATTTATTGACATCATCAGATGATGTTTTAATTTTTTGATTGACTTCTTGTTGCCATAAATGAATTTGATCTCTTAAATGCTGATTATCTTTGGGAGTACCAATATTTTCAATAATTAATTTCAAATTTTTAACCCTACTGTTGATAATATAAATGCTTGATGTCACATTTTCGCAAATCGCTCTTATTTCCCTAGAATTGTTGGGTGGCACTACCTGTAATTCATAAGAATAGGCTGGTATTTACAAATATGTATTGTCCGAACAAATTAGGAAATAACTTTCAAGCATACAAATCGCATAATAAGTAAATAATTTTGTAAACCTTTCAATATTTGACTACTAATACTATCTTAATAACAATAAAACAACCTGAAAATTAATATTATAAATTTTTGAACAGCAAAAAATAACCATTTTTAATTATATAACTTATAATTGAGAACCTTACAAAATAAGGGGAATTCGTTCAATAAATTAAGTGAACGTAAAAAATTCAATAATAATTAAATGTAATTTAATAAAAATTAAAGAAAAAATAATAATGTAAAACTTTTACTTTCATTGTCTGCAATATTAAGACAAAAAAATATTTGATATATTACTAATATTAAAAAAAAATGATTGGAAAAGGAAAAAAAAAATGATTATTATAAAAACCTCAGTATCCATAGCTCCATAATTGGAATAATAATCTCGTTTAGACGCCAGCGTGAATTAAATAAAATTAAATCCGATACGAATAAATTTATAATTAATAAAATTAATTATACTTCTTTATACTTTGCGAAATCACAAAAATAATTGTTAGAGCCAACCTTGAAATAACAGGTAAACAAATCACCGCCTTCTAATAATATCTGGATTAATAACGTATTAAAAAAAAAAAAAACTTTTTTGTACGCATTTACTTTTTTGTTTTATTTTATTAAGTTTAATTCACTAATGAATATTATTGTTGAAATATAAATTTATCAATCCACACGAAGATGACATCCTCGTTATATTAATCATTTTTATTTTTTCTAAAATACAAAACTAATGATTTGAATTTGTCTACACATTTATTAATCCGCCATTTTTACATTTGTGTTCGTTTAATTTTACATTTAAAAAAATGAATATGTTTACAAATATAAAATAATCAGTTATAATTGTCTTCTTTTCTTTGTTTGTAGTGCTTAGAAAAACAAGAGGCGGAAACAATTAGGCTTTGATACGTTCGCTCGATACAAAAAAACCATTTTCTCGTTGATAATGATAAGAATTTATCATTCTTTCGAATGATTAAACCGTCCATTACTTCATTTTTATACATTCAATAAACATGGTAATAAAAAATTATATAACGAAACAAATAAATTAATAACGTTTATATTTTTAAAAAAATATTTTCATACAAAATTTAAAAGTAATGATTATTTAATAAAACAGAAAGAAGATGTTTACAATAATTTATTTTAAAATTTTTTACAGCCTTAATATAACAACATTAAATAATAATAATAAAAATAAAACACAAAAGATTAAAATAACTAAGGATGAGAACGATTACGATGAACATTTTCATGATTCTGATGATTGTGACGATGATGATGATGATGGTGATGATTATGATTATGATTATTATTATTATTATTATTATTATGTCGATTTCCTCGAGCAGGAGAATCAGCATTTCTATTATTAATACTTTGTCTGCGATCGTTGGTCCTGTTGTGATGAATGTTGTGACGTTGAACACGATGATTTTTCACAACATTTGCCTGACATTTAGGTCTCTGGCGTTCAATTTTAGGTACTAAGTGAGAAAAAAAACAAATGATAAAATCAAAATTTTTGTTTCCATTTTAGAAGAGGGTCGAGTAAGTTCTCACCTTGCAAATTAGCTATTTCTGCTACGGCACGCTGAAAGAAAAACAAAAATTTCTCCCATTAATAGTTGCATTTCGACCTGTCGAAAGAATGTTTTTTTTTTTTTTTTTTTTTTAGACAATATCATTACCAAACCGAGATTCAATGCGATGCCATTATTTGCAACACCGGGCATGGGATGATCGTGAGATCTCTCAGGCATGACAATGGTCGGATCGTGCATGAGTCTTCCCTGAGGATTCGATTTTAAAATCACAGCCTTGGCTTGTTCTCCTATTTTCTTAACTAAATCCACGTGGAGTTCATCGTTTGTAGAATACAACGGACATTTTTCGTATTCCGTACCGCCTTGACCGTTAAAATGTGAATAGTCTTGAACGGGTTTACGACAAACGTAACACATTTTGGCTCCGCACGTGCAAGTCATTTTATTACAACCATCTTCTTTGACAAATTTCTTTCCGCATTTATAACAAGTTCTAAAATGATAAAATTATACACATTTTTCAACGAATTTTCTACGTTTTCACATCAACATTTCACTCACCTGACTAAAGCTTCCGTCATTTTGTTTTCAATAAAAGTTCTCATTTTAACATCTTCCGACTTTTCAACTTCGTCGCACTTCAAAGGTATGTGATTTAATTCTTGACACAACCTGAAAAAAATAAATACCATTCATACCATTTATTCATTTAATAAATTTTTTATTTCATTACAGAATCAATAACGGTCAATCCAACCTGCAAGACTCTTTCAAACATTCCGGATTCAAACACGTGAGAACTTTTTCTTCGGGAGGTAAAATTGTCGCATAATTGCAAAACGGACACTGAACCAAATCTTCGATGCCGGCCGATTTAATTTCTTCCATTTGATTCGCTTGAACTATTTTTGAAAACAATTCCGGTTTGAGAACTTTCTGAAAAACAACAACAACAACAATAACAATAACAAACAACAAACAAAAGGTAAGTTTTCTGCTTTTATTCTAGTTTTGCGACATTTTTGTTTTGTTTTGTTTTTTTCCCTCCCTTTTCTCTAACTCGAAATATTTATTTTTAGGATTTATTAAGTACCTGCAAATAAGCGAGTGTAAAATTTTCTTCACAATTTGCGAGACATTTAAATTGACATTTTCCATTTCCCATTTCGACTTCGACGTACCTGCGGAGAAAATATTTTTCATTTGAAATAAAGAAAATCACGTCATCAAAAAAATTCGTCGAATCAAATACAAGTAAGTAAAGTTTTACATTACTTTATAACGCAATCTTTACAAAATGAATGATCCTTGGGACAATATATCGTATCTTCGACCATAACTTCGGTATCGAAACAACATTGACACTCTAATAGAGTCCCTGAATTTTTAGCTTCTTCAAATTTTCTCTTTCTCGTGACACTTTCATTTTCCAGATACTCCCTAATCTTGTCTTCGTTTTCTATAAAAGCTACCTGAAAGTAATTTTTGTGTACAAAACAATGAATGAACGAACGAGTAACGATTTAAGAGTAGAGTTTAAGAGTAACGATTAACATAAATAATAATAATAATAATAATAATGAGTATGAGTATGAGTAAAGTTTAGACTGGAACTCACTTCTTGTAAAAATTGTATGTCAATAGTCGTGGGTCGTGTACTAACGCATTCGATATTAGATCGCCTCGCTTTCCGAAGCCTACCTTTGTTTTTAATTAAACTTTTACAACTCAGATAAAGGTTAAAATTATTTTCGTGAAAAGCGTGTATTAAATCTCTCACGTAGTGATTTTTGAAAAATGTTTTCAGATAGCATAAACTGTGAGCTTTGTACTTGGCACAGTTCCTGTTGTTATTTTTAAAATACGTCCAAGGATCTGGAACGACTTTGAGAAAATGACTTATGGAAAAATTTTTCGTGTATCTATTTTGCAAATCTTCCATTTCTAATTTTTTCTCGTAATCCTCTCTCGTCGGCATGTCGTTCCTCTCCAATTTGGATATGACGAATGCATTTATCTCCTCGGGAGAATTATTTAATTTCAATATTTTCTGTCTCAAATAAGATGGATCTGTTTTTGGGAAAATTTTAACGAGATTCGCAAGTTGTTCGTTTAACGATTCCTCCGTGATTTTCGTAACGTCGTCCAAATCTTCCACGTCGGGGACGTCGTTTCCAGAATTCGTTTCCTCATTGTTAGAGTCTGAAAGAGTTTTCGATTCGTCGTTCAAATCTATTTCCATTATCTCGATTGCATTCGATGAAAATTGACATGATGACGTTGATGGTACAGGTTCGATTTGAGAGCATTCAAAATTACTCTCCTCCTCCTCCTCCTCCTCCATCATGAGGCTATCATCGTTTTCCCCTGTAGAATCACTTTTCCCATTTGAATTTTCATCATCGTTTAAAGTAGAATCTGTATTACTATCTTCTTCCGTTTGATTAACAATCAAATCGTTTAATATTTCTACATTGCCACCATGTAAAATATCATATGTCTTACTATCGTTACTATCTTCTACATCAATTATTTCAGTCGAATTTGAAAGAGAGTCAGGTTTATAAGACGATTCACAAATAAAACTATCATTATTTTTTATCTTGATTTGGTCATTAGAGATAGAAAAATTTAAACGTGATATTTCCTCTTCAAAACTTACTTTTTTTTTTTTTTTTCTATTATTTTTTTCGACATCCCATGAATTGACAGTGCTACTCGAGGCACTTGTAAAACCGTTATCCAACGACAAATCAATTATTTCTTTTTTCGGGTAAAGCCCACATATCATAACTGTATTTATAAATCTAGAACAATCCTTCAAGTCTTTCATGAGCTTGCATTCTTTTTTTAAAAACAATTCATCAACATCTGGAAATATGTCGTGAATTTTCGCATAATACAACAAATCATGGCTGCTAGCTTTTACTTTTTTATTATCGATGTGAGTTTCTAAATCAATATCACCGCCCACTCTTTTTTCACCCATTGTAACAGACTTGTTTCTGAATTCTCGAATCAGTTTTTGAGCATTTGGAACTTGTAGTATTTCGCACATCACAGTTTCTAATTTATTAGGATTACCATTGTAAGAACTTAATAATGATTGAATGAATTTTGGATTTGCATCTTTCGCATGCTTTCTAACAAATTCAAAATCTTTATCCATTGTGTTATTGTTATTTTCAATTTCACCCGATTGAATAGCAATTTTTAAATCATCATCGAATGATAGAAAACTATCATCCGAATTATTGCTGACTGATTCATAATGTTCTCTGGAAAAATAAACATATTGCTAAGTAATAATTTATTCATTGTTTGAAATAAAAAAATTATAAACAAACACACAAAAAAAAAAAAAAAAAAAAAAGTTTTTCTTATTTGTCTCTACTTACACATATAGTTGATGTGCATTTTCTTTTTCTTGACCATAATTCATTTTATTCTATCAAATAAAAAATAATAACAAAATAAATTACTTTTATGTATCACCCAAAATCTACGTAATAATAATAATTTACACTCTAATTTAATAATATATAATAAAAATTATGAATTTTAAATAATGCAATACAATGTAATAATACTAACCCGATCTAACCTGAAAATTCTCAACTGATACTGATTTGAAAAACGATATAAAATTATTTATTTACTATTTCTATATATATATATATATTATAAAATACTAAATTCGAAGAGTTTTTAATTTTTTCCCTTTTTTTTTTTAAATAAATCACAAAATAAAATCCATGAGATAAAACTTGTTTTGAGACATAATGAGAATTCCAGGGACTGGATCCCAAATTTAATAATAATGAAAAATCACATTTTCATCAGTTTTAATCCTGTAAAAACTTGCTTAGACCACGTAATAAAATTAAGTAAACAAATAAAAAATAAAAATTACATAATAAAAAAATTTATTAAATCAAAATAAAATTAATAAGGCATTATTATTATTATTGTTATTGACGATGTGTTATTTTTTTTTTTACTATCGATTCTTAAAATTAATTATAATAATAATAATGTAATAATTAAACTGAAAGCTTAATTTAATAATTATACTTCGTGTATTATAAAAATATTATTTACTTTTCGTTAATAACAAAAAAAACAATTTTTAGTTTTTCTCATGCGAATAATAATAATAATAATAATTTCAAGTATATCCATTAAATATAAATACGTAAAAAAAAAATTTTTTTTGGCATTTATTTACGAAAAAAACTACATGATTAAATATTAGAATGAAAATCGTTGTTTTCGAATAATATTAAATTAATTAATGGTAGAAAACCGTTTAAAAAAAACCGTTTTGATTATAATTTTTTTGGACAAAATGTTTTTTTGTCAGTTAATTCTTTGTACGTAACGGCAGGATTACCACAGCGTGCGTCCAAAAAAAAAAAAAAAAAAGTTTTTTAAAATGGCGGCAAAAAATGGAACTTGGCGGATTATTTCGTGAGAGAGAGAGAAAAAAAAATTTCTTTTTTAAGCCTCGTTAGTTCGTGAATTTGTGATAATTATCGTAAAAAATTTTATATTCGACGTATATTTTTTGTTTTCGGTAAATAAATTTATAAAAACGAAAGTGAAATTAATGAATTATTATATCTTCGAATCGAACGATTGAATAACGGTCATTTTTCATAAAAGCTTTGGCTGTGGTAAAAAATTTTCAGGTACCCCATTTTAATCACATTTATATTATAATTTTGCTTTCAAAAAACATTCTATTATATCTCTTTTGATTAATAATTATACTATTACTAACTCACAACAGGTTTTGAATCTTTAAAACAAAAATTTCACATAATTTATTATATTCCTGTTGTAAACCATACCCATATTAAGAATCAAACTAACAATGACTTACACAATTCTTATTTTTTGTTAAATCTAATAGAAACAGGAAGAAACAGGATATTTGTAAAGGTTATAATTCTTTAAATAATAATAATAATCAAATAAGAAGATTAAATTATTAAAAAGATTTAATTTCATTATTTAAAGCTATATTTTTTTGATTTTTTTTTTTTTTTGAAAATAATTTATGATATACACCAAGAAATGATTGAAATTCATTTCATTTCAGACATTAAAAATGGCTTCTTCTTCTTCTTTCTTGGCAAGTTGATTTTTTTTTTTTTTTTCAAAATTAAAATCATGTGGCAAGTAAGAAATTTGTTTTGTTTTCTTCCCAGTTTCTTATTTTTTTTTTTTTTTTTTTTTTTTTTTTAATAATTTCAGATCTGTCTTACATAAATAAAAATATAATTTCTGACTAATAATAATATTATTTAAAATTTTTTTTTTTTTTACTTTGATGATGCTGATGATGATGATGATGATGATGCTAAAGGAACCAATGCAGAGTCTTTATTGTAAAGTTTTTGAGCCAAAACCTGAATAGAGAGAGAAAGAGAGAAAGAGAGAGAGAGAGAGACAATCAATATTTAAATTTTTAAAAATGTAACCAAAAAAAAAAAAAAAGGGATGTCAATTAAATGTACCTGTAAACTTTCTAGAGAATTTTCACAGTCTGTCGTATCGATTTCGTTCAAATTAACACCTGAACGTTCCATTTCCGCATATGTTCCAAATGGTAATTTTCCTATACATTCTAATTTCATTATGTGCATTTTAGATCGAAGGTGTTTCGCCAAATGTCCGTGAATTCGAAAAGCTATTTTACAATCGTCGCAATTGAACGGACGTGGATTACTCGTGGTCGCCGTGCCGAACGTCGTATTCATGGACACCTGGAAAAAACAACATGGAAAATTACAAATCACCTACCACACGATGGATGGAACTACAACGTATAAGGTAAGATCAATTTCCATATATATATAAATAGAGAGAGAGAGAGAGAATGCAATTCTTTTTTACTACAAGTCAGTGACTGACTGATGTCTAGACTAATCAATCTTAATCATAACACAAAACGTCACGAATGAATGAATGAATGAATGAATGAGCAAATAACCTTGTTGTGATGAGATCCAGATCTTTCGTGTTTTTGCAAATGACCTTTCGTTCTAAATGATACGGCGCAAGGTTCGCACCTGTACGGCCTTTCGAAATAATGTATGTTAACGTGTAATTTCAATTGACTCGCTTTTGTAAATATTTTGTTGCACATGACGCATATGCTTCGTCCATCTTCGGTCACGCTAAAACAAAACAAAACAAACAAAATTACATTTTTCACAAAATTGATTTGGAAAACAACAACAACAACAACAACAATGTCGACGTCGTCGTTTATATTCGTGACTTTGTATGATTTTTTTTTTTTTCGCCTCATCAAAACAAATATTAATAAAAAGAGTCAAGAGAAGACATAGAATGTAAGAAGAGAGAAGACAGAAGAGAGAAAGAGAGAGAGAGAAAGAAGAGAAAGAGATGCTAATAAATATTCCATTAAGGTGAAACTTGTTGTCTTTCACAAAGTGAACTTATTATTATTATTATTATAATGTCGCGTTTAATAAATATTCGCTTGGGTAAATAAAAAAAAAAAAAAAAAAATGGAAGAGGACCTGTTGTTGGCCTCCCACGTTTTAAATTAATTCAAATATTTTTCATTGTTCCACATTTTTCTTTTTCTTCTGTTTTTTTTTTTTTTTTTTTTTTTGAAAAACGTTTAACGCACGCACGCACACGCACGTGCACATTGCCATCTCCTTGTGAACACATTTCAAACTTATTATTCTCTTATGGTAAATATGTTTTAGCTGTTTTTTATTTACCCAAACAAAGGTTGGCTTCTTCTTCTTCTTCTCTTACACTTGAGCAATTTATTCGAATTCGTAATAATAATAATAATAATAATAACAGCAACAAGGAAAACCTTGACCTAATAGGAAAATAATGATGATAATACAATTCAAACAATGGATAAATGAAAAAAGTTAGAAAAAAAAGTCTGGCCAGATGCCATATTGCTATTAATTTATCTTCTTCGAAAGTATCGAAATAAAGTGCGCAACGTGAAATTAAATAACCGAATTATTAACAATGAGAGGCAGTCACGCACCACGGAGGGGTTGGATTTGTTCTCTCACCTGACGTAGCTTGGACTCGGACCACTTGAAGGAGGGAAAAATTCTGGTTTTAACTTTGTATCCGTCGAGGACGAGGACGACGACGACGGCGACGACGACGAGGACGTCGACAACGGCGACGATTTGGACAACAATAAAGATGGTGGATATGTATTTGGTCGAATCCCGTTTGTGCTCTTTGGAATAAGGCCTGCCGTCACGTAAAGTAATTTGTATTGGGAGTTTCCAGTTGTCATTTCCGACAGTGATAATAAACCGGAAGCAGCCTCTCTTTCCAAAGACTCGGAATCCTCTGCGAGAGAAAAAAAAAACAAAACAATGACAATTATTTATATTTTTACGATGAGGAATTTGTGTTTTTTGGGTGAATAATGAGCCCTCCCCTCACCTCCCCCTCCCCCCGCGCGAACGATCGAAAATTTTTTTTTTTGCATTTACTGAGGTTTAAAGAATTTCTTTCCCCTGAACAACGCGAAATTTCTGAACGATTGCCAGATTTTATTATTAAAAAAAAAAAAAAAAAAAAAAAAGTGGAAAAAATTTTTCTTTCACTTTACGCGGGGAGATTTTCAATGACAGATTTTCCACAATTTATTTATTTATTATTTTTTTTTTTCAAAGAAAAAAAATTTTCGCTATTGTGAAATCATCAATCTATTTATAATTACATTATAATAATCAGTGGCGTAATTAAATAAACCGTGACGTTCGAGTCAGTCGGGGGGGGGGGGCGGAGGGAGGGCGGGAAATCATTGTCGTAAATTAAAAGAAAGTTTCGTTTAAAAACGAAGGTTGCCGGTACCTTGTTGAATATTTTCTTCTTCACCTTCGTCGCTGTCATCTTCATCGTCATCTTCCTCGTTTTCACTTTCTTCGTTCTCATCTTGTTTCATGGCCTGTTGTTTCACGAGCAATTCTTCGTCAATGTTTTCCATTTCGACCGTCGTCGGAATGGGATGAACGTTTAAAACCATGCATTTCTTATAGTGAGCCTTGCTTTTCATGTGTTTCGTTAGATTTCCCTTCGTTTTGAATGAAAAGGTACAATGTTTGCATGTGTAGGGTCGAACGTCCGTGTGAGTCCGAATGTGTTTTTTCAACATCGAAGGTTTTTTACACCTGATCCCGCATTCTTCGCAAAAATATTTACCCCTCCCTGTGGGGAAAAAAAAAAAAAAAAAAAAGACGTCCTGTCGTTATCACAAAAATTTTTCTCTTTTCTTTTTTTTTAAAATAATACGACGTCAAATATCTATATAAGAATCCATTATTATTTTCGTGCCAAAACATTTGAAAACAAAATAATGGACTTTGCCAAAATTTATTTTTTTTTTTTTACTACCAACCTCTCCCCCGAACATATGTATAGTCTTCGTTTGATTCGTATCCACCGGCAAATATTTTCACTCGTTTATGAGGTGCTTCAGCGGTCCACGACGAATTCTAAAAAAATAGAAATTTAAAATTAGAAAATTTAAAAAAAAAAAAAAAAAAAAAAACATCCTTGCGCGAGTGAGTACCAACTACCAACCTCTGTTCCCTGTTCAGTTTTGGAATTATCTTTGTGTGGTTGTTGTTGTTGTTGTTGTTGTTGCTTATCTAAATTTTTCAACCAGGAAGATGAATGAGTCAATATTCCGCCAGAGTTGGATGATATGTTTTTACTAGCAATTGTGTATGAAGAGGAACGATGACGACTGTCGTAGTGAGCCATGGCTTTCGCGGGTGTTAAACCTAAAAGGCTCGGCTCTGATTCTGAATAAACCTAAGGAGAAAAAAAATGAAACATTTTATTTCACCGCGCTTTTCCTCACGTACAACAATGTGGTGCGCCCACGCGCGCGCGCAAAAAAAAAAAAAAAGAATATTTGCAAGTACCTTCCAATTGGAATACATGGAAAGTTTCGGGTACTGAGCCGTTTGCTCGACATACATCGGTTGCGGTCTAGATATGGTACAGTAGTAACTTCTCGTTGAACACTTGAGTCCCAAATAAGTATACGCGTGACCGTTGAGAAACAACTGTCCGTAACTTTTCTTGGGTCTGGGCGTTTCCGGACTCACAAGGCTCAGAACGGTCGGAGTGATGCCTTGGTGCAGTCTTTTCGGAGTGAAAGACCCCGGTCTGAGAGGTAACGAAGTAGGACGAAGGAATTTAAGCCCGGTTTCTTTTTTACCGACTAAATCGTCTTTTTTACATTCGGTCACTTCATTTGTTGGAGCACTTATTTCTATTTTTGGTATATCATTTGGCACATTTTTTATTTGATTGGAAGAGCTCGATTTCCGAATCGATATTAAGGAAGACACTGTTGATTTTGTTTCTTTCGATTTTTTAACTTCATCTTTCTTAACAATATTTTCAGTCACTTTGGCAGGTAATATCGTCTGCGGCCCGGGTATGCCAGGAACGTACGGGATTTGCCTACCCCCGTGAACGATCGTTAAAATCCCTCCGTTTTGCGTCGTCGTGACCGCCGGATCGTAAGGTCCTTTACCACTACTACTACTATTATTATTATTATTATTGTTATTGTTATTGTTATTGTTAGAAGCATTTTCGAACGCGGGAATGGTGGCGATTTCGGAAAAGGTTTTAGGTGGCACGTGTAAATTAGGAGTTGGCACACCGGGTACTGCCAAATTAGGAGTTGATATATTTGGCATCAATGGCATTAATAATTTTTTCGTATCTGGGTAATTTAATATGTTGGCTATTTGAAAAATATTACTTTGCGCCGTGCTAGCAGGTACTTGTACTAGAGTTCCTCCTCCCGAATGAAGACCAGTTTTTGCTATGGTCACAAAAAATTTCGAAGTATTTTTCGTGGATGCATCAACCGGCGACTGAGGATTCGGATTAGGTTCAATTCGCATTGTCTTTGTTTCTCCGCAATCTAATATTTTAACTTCACCTCCGAACATGTTCAACGACGGTTTCATTGGATATTTCGACAGTTCTTCTAGGGATTTCAATGTAGCCGAAGGGGAAGAAGATGTTGTCCTACTTCCGGTTTTCGTAAGACCGTTGGAAGGTGATATGGGACATGGCAATGAAGACGTCGACAGTCTCCGATTTTCGTAATTTTGTGCGTTATTCGGCGACATGGATTGCGTTCTCCGTTTTTTAGGAGGCGGACCAACTTCCGTCTTAACGTCGACTAAGGGAGTCGTGCCCAGCAGAGGTCCAGGAGACAGATAAGGAGTCTCCACCACGCAGGTCACTTCTTTCGCCTTATCGACGACTCTTTCATTCTCCTCCCCCGTTTTTTGCTTTTCTACTTTTTCTTCGACGACGTTATCTTTATTGACCGATCCGTACCTATTATCATCTTGATAAAGATTTGCTTTGTGAAACTTTGGCTTGTAAATTTTGTACTGATTGTCGTTGGTCTCGGATTCTGATGCTTTGGTGGTGGGCTTTGCAATTGAAATGGGAGTCGCAACTTCCGTCGGCACGACTTTAGTTTCAACTTCCACTTTTTTAAACGAAAGCTCGGCGCGATTGGGACCGGAGTCGTCGGAAAATTCATCTTCTGCACTATCACATTTTTCGCTTCCGATTTGTCCTTCACCTGTTTTAAACCGATGCGCTTGAGATCTACAATGCTTGTACAAGTTACTTTTCGTTTTAAAAGCAAACCCGCAGGGCGAACATGGATATGGTCGTTCGTTCGTGTGAGCACGTATGTGTTTTTGAAGGACCGACGGTTTCGCGCAAGCTAACTGGCAGTAAGGGCAAGTGTAACGTCCCGAACTGGAAGAAAGAGCGGATCCTCCTCCGTCATCCTTCTTCGTCGGCGGTGAACGAGTATTTTCATGTTTAGGCGAAGAGCAAGAGCGAAGAGGCGGAGGAAGTTGCTTAACCTCTGAATTTTTAACAGTCTTTCCAGACTCCGATTCGTTACCCTCATTTTTACACGAACTCACATTCAAATTACACCTACTATTTGATATTCTTTCATTTATGGCTGGCACTAAATCTATTTTATACGATTCTACTTGTCTTAAATCACTAATAAATCCGTTTTGATTTTTAACTTCCGTCTTTTCAGTCTTGGCAGTGTAATCACATATAGCGGCGATTTTCTTAAATTTTTTATGCAGATAATTTTCATTTGATATTTCGACATTTTTTTTCTCCTTAAGAGAAACTGGCGTGAATTCGGAAACCCTGTTGTTGGTTGTTTTTATTGACGATTGATTTGTGCAGTCCTTGATTTCTGAAAGATAAAGGGTATTCCCCGATTTAAAAAAAAAAAAAAAAAATCTTTTTTAATCAAAACTAATCATTATTATTATTATTATTATTATTATTATTATTATTATTATTATTACTATTATTATTATTATTATTATTATTATTATTATTATTATTATTATTATTATTATTATTATTGTTGTTGTTGTTGTTGTTGTTGTTGTTGTTGTTGTTGTTTTTGTTCGTATTTGCAAAAATTTCTCACATTAATTTTTTATTCATTCAATTGTGATTAAATTAAAACAAAACAAACGAACAACGCGACAAATACAAACACAACCGCAACGTTTGAATTGTCTTTCATATAAATTAACAATTTTATTATTATTATTATTATTATTATTATTTTTTTTTTTTTTTTTTTTTTTTTTTCACCTTCGCTAATTCGCCAAAGCCAAATTATTAAATTTTTTGCACTTGCAATGACATTGAATATAGATTTAAAGGGCAAATAAAACGAACGCAAAATAAAAAAAAATTTCAAAAAAACTTTTACGCTCGTTTCCCCCCATCTACGTTTATTTAAAAAAAAAAAAAAAAAAAAAAAAAAAAAAAAGTGAAAACGCGGTTTTTTGCGTGTGTTCACGAGTGCGTGCGTGAGTGCGTGAATGCGTATAATAATACACACACGCACACACTTATATATATACGCATCATATTTTTCGTTTGATCTTTTTATGCTTCGGTAATCAATTAATCATTGCTTTTTTTTTCTTTTTTTTTGTCGTACGCTGCAGCAATCTCTCTCTCTGCCTCTTAGATGTTAGATGACCTTTCTAAATATCAATTTTCCTTTGTGTCATACGTTTAGAACGACGTTTTTAAATAATAATAATAATAATAATAATAATAATAATAATAATTAATAATGGAATATAATTATGTAAAAGCAGCAAAAAATTATTAATAATAATACTAATAATAATTGATCGAAAGATTTTTGTTGTTGTTGTTGTTGTTTGTTCGTTAATTTTTTTTTTTTTTTTTCACGCAACAAAATGTGCAGCATCCGACTTTGTTCATCATCATTATTATTATTATTATTATGAGATGTATCTTGATTCGTCTTTCCTTTGCTTTCCTTTGCTTACTCACCTTTTGTCTTTTCAAAATTAAGCGTTTTTTTTAAATGAGCAGTATTTTGACTTTTTATGACCGTTCCTGAAAGAAAGAAAGAAAAAAATAAACAATAATTAACGATTATTTCGGGGTAGTAATCATTTTGTTAGGGTTCCACGATAAGTTTTAGTGTGAGGGGTTGAAACGACGATGATGGGGAGGGGGATGAAATGAATTCAAGGGGATGGAGGTAATGTGAATGCATGAACGACTCGGGAGCGTTTGATGACAAAGTTCACGAACCTTTAAACGTTTTTTTAGTTTTCTATAGTTAATTATTATTATTATTGTTATTATTACGAGTAAAAAAAAAACCGGAAGACAAACATCTGACTACACATCTCTTTGTCTTTGCGTAAGATTTTTGGCTCCACGTTTTTTTTTTTCGTTAAACGTTAGGAATTCAATAAGAATCCATTAAAAATTTTTCCATTTTTCCATTTTGCGAACGTAATTTTACTCATCTTCCATTTAAATATAAATACGATCTATATTATATTTATATATATTGAGTAAATATCATCATTATTTCGCGTTGGATTCCTTGTTTAAAAAACAAGAAAAATTTAAACGTAAACAAAGGATTTATCATCCATCTCTCTCTCTCTCTCTCTCTCTCTCTCTCTCTCTCTCTCTCTCTCTCTCTCTCTCTCTCTCTCTTCGTTTCCTTTTAAAAAATTCTTTTACGAAAAAAAAAAAAAAAAATTGGGAGAATCCCAAAAAAAAAAAAAACGATGAAAAATTTCGACGATGGTGGAGGAAGAGGAGAAGGGGAAGGAGAGAGGGGGGGGAAATGAACGTTGAAAATGAATTTTTGAATGAAATACGCAAATAATAATAGACACAAACAACAGAAGCAACACGTGGGAGTTTCTGACAACGATCTCTAACAAACAGACAGACTCCAGTACTTACTCTCTGTCTCTCTCTCTCTCCGACGACGACTGGAAATTGAGAAAGCGGAAAACGAAAAAGGGAAGGAAAGAGAAAGAGAGAGAGAGAGAGAGAGAGGAAAAAAAAACAACAACAACAACAACCTAATTTGCACGCATTTCCAGTCTCGAGTTCACAAGAGATAATGACCATCCGGCGCCACCGTGACTCTATTTTAATATCGTCGTCGTCGTCGTAACCTGGCAAAGAAGAAAAAGTTGCCTTGTTTGTTTGTTTGTTCGTTTGTTTGTTTCTCTTCTTTTTTTTTTTTTTTTTTTTTTGATATTTTTCACGTTTGTTGTTGTTGTTGTTGTCGTGCCTTCTGCCTACCTACAAACCATATTTTACGAAAAAACGATATTCAAAGTCGATTTGTGAAGGAAAATTTGAGGAAATGTCAAAGGAAATTTAATAGAAAAGAAATTCGGCCCATTTCCGATCTTTATTACCATCATCATTATTATTATTATTATTATTATTTTAATAGTTAATAATTTATTATCCCTTTTCAAGCTGCGTTTATATGTAACCTAAATATTTCACGCAACCCTCTCTCTCCCCCCATATCCCTCTCCCTCCTTCACCCCCCGCTTATATCCATATAAATAAAGCGCAAACATTTTTTTCAGATTAAAAATCGTAATAATAATAATAATAATAATAATAATAATAATAATAATAATAATAATAATAATAAAACAACGTCATGCGGTTCGCGTATCGAGATCGCAACTTACGTAACGCACGCAAAAAATATTTAACTTGTAAGGAATACGTTAAACGCCATTTATAACGAGAAATAATAACAAAAAAAAAAAAAAATACTAAGGGAGGATTTTATTAAGCCCCCCCCCCGCAAATTAATAAATTTTCATTTAAAAACATACCTAAAAACAAACCTGAAATAAAGAAGGTTTTTTTTTCCAACAACTATTAACTATTAGTAGAATACGGACAATGGTTTATGTGCAAGTACAACGAACTTTGCCCGGAAACTGGCCACTCGAAAACTTCTACTACTACTACTACTACGTCATTTCTTTTTGATAAATTCTTCTTATCGGACCCCCGAAACTGTATTATTACTATTATTATTATTATTATTATTATTATTCTCTTTTTCACGATTTTTCCTATTCAAATGTTTTTTTTTTTTTTTTTTTTCAGGTATTTACACGAGTCGTAACAACAAAAATGAGAAGGTAGATGGTGGTGGTGGCGGTGGCGTCGTCGTCGCAAATGGTCCACCGTACCTATTATTAATCGGGTGAAAAATCAAGGGCGAGCGGTAGCGCATTTTCGTAACATGACTAATAATCACCGAGAGTGTGTCTATCTATGCGTCAGGTAAGTGCGTACACGCTTATTTTTAATTTAATAATAATAATAATAATAATAATTAATAATAATAATAATAATAACGCCATCGCTTTCGCGAATATTCGAAAATTCTATTTTTCGTTGACGTCGTCGACAACTCGTTTTTCTTTTTTTTTTTAAACCGATTTCGGCCCTTGAAAAATCAAAACCGGATTACGGGTTGACGTATACGCGTACACACACACACACACACACACACACGCACACACGCACACGCACATACCATTCACAATTAGGACCGTGAAACCCGCGCACGATGATGATGATGATGATGATTTCATCAAGGAGGCAGGCACCTTTGACTTCTCGATTTGGTTAATTTTTTTTTTTTTTTTTTTTTTTTTTTGGAATTTCGGTTTGCGCGACGGCAGGTGGACTTTGTAATTTATTTCGACAACGAGACACATATGCGTACACGCACACGCACACACGCACGTACGTTTTTTTCTTTGGTTTAATCGTTCTTCATATGCCCAAGCCTTTTTATTAGCTTCTTCCGATAACTAGTCAAATACTTGAGCAAGGTAACTACTAAATAATTCCAAAATCCCACATTAGGCCTATGACTAATAGGAACAATGATTTTTTTTTTTACTCACATTTGAAATGATGCAACGATGCATGATAAATAGCATCATTGCACATAACAATAATAATAATAATAATAATAATAATAATAATAATAATAAATTGGTTGCGTTTTCTTTCTTTCTTTCTTTTTCCCATTTACACTTGTAATGATTATCACAGGTTGACGCAGGAAATTAATTGTTGCTCGTTGTTGTTTGTTGTTGTTGTTTGTTGATTCCCTGTGTGTGTTGTAATGATATTTTTCTGCTACAAACACACACACAAAAAAAAAAAATCCCAACTCCGCCGCTGCCTAACAATGGAGGAGTTTTTCGATTAAAACATTTTTTTTTTTATTTCGTTTTTTTCGTTTTTTTCGTTTTTTTTTTCGGTTCATTCATTTATTTACTTCGTCTTTTCTTTACTACTACTTTTTTTCTTCTTTATCACAGCAAGGTTTGCCCTCGTTTTCCAATTCTGTACGACGAGAGAGAAAGAGAAAGAGAAAAAGAGAGAGAGAGAGAGAGAAATAAGTTCATGTGGAAATTGTGTAAATGAATGACGTCAAAACAAGGAACGTTTCGCAATCGTCATTATTTACACTCAAGTACTACAGACAAACAAACAAACAAACAAACAATTGATTGATTGAAATTTTTTTTTTTTTTTTTTTTAATTTATTTTGATTGTTAATTGACGCGACGACGATTCGCGAAATCTTCTTCTTCTTCTTCTTTTTCACACTTTTAACCGCCATTTTTCCAATTCTTTGTTCGCCGCAGGAATTTCGATAAAGACAGAGAGAGAGAGAGAGAGAGAAAAAATTCGATGACGATTCGATTAATCGAAAATGGAGGACGATTCGTTTGATTCTTTTTGACGGTTACACACGTCTCGAAAATTTCCCTTTTTTTTTATTAAGTCAAAATCATAGGATTTCGAAGCCCTGTTATGAAAAATAACATGTCAGAAAATGTACAAAAGAGATTTTTCATTTTCTTTTTTTTCTTCTCTTATCAATAGGCTATAATTATTATTATACGGATCAACGTATGCAAAGTTCACTTTCGTAGAAAAAAAAAAAAAAAAAAAAAAAAATGTATCATGTAAACGAATGTAAATAATCTCAACCGAATTACGCATAATAAGTTATTTTTATTGAATATTAATAATGACGAGAAAATTAAAAATGTAAAAACAAAAAAAAAAACTTCGAAAACGACGACGACGACGACGACGACGACGATGACAAATCATGTCTTACACGTCGACGACGCAACCAACAAACAAACAAACAAACAA